TTTCCGAATATATCAACATAAGGTCAAGCTCTAAGAACTCGGACCAAGTTTCTCCACGCCTCTGTTCGAAGCCTACCCCCACCTTGGAGTAAGACCTTATATTCATACTAAATTAGTGTTGAATTTCACAAGATTAGTGTGTGTATAGATTAGTTAGTATAGATTAAGACCCGTATTACCCGATTTTATCAAATTCCGGTTTAATTTGACCCTTTTCAACGTACGTACAGTACGTACTGTACATATAGTTCTTTTCGGGACACTTAAAGAACAATGAACCCAGTGATCATCACATCATGTGAAATCATGGAATAACGTCATTTGTTTACTAGCACTAACAGATTTGGCCTAAACTATACTATCACATCACATAACCCTAACACTAACCCGAGTGTTTAGTTATGTGATGTGATAATCACGAAGATATCACTGGGTTCACTCTTCTTGAAACTACCCAAAAATCGTTGTAATTGCGAATGAAATAACAATTATAATCGCAATTCCCCATTTGCGCGAAGTAAATTTCGCTTCCCAGAATGCGGGAAATATTAATTGCAGATCTCTGCCAAAAATAGCACTAGCCTAACCTATATTCAGGACACGCGTTTAACGATAATAATTATTACACTGCATACCCGTATATGGCAAAAAAATGATTGTTTGGCAATAATAATTAATATTAAGACCTGTCAAACTTTCATTTTAATTTCCTGCACGGTTAGAATTACCTGTTAATAAAACAACTAATCAATTTGAAGAATTCACGAATGCCATTCATTATCATCCTTCAGACAATAATATTATGTATACGTAGGACTTTTTATATGGTTTATTAATGATGAATATAATACATACGATATATATCTATGTGATATTTGAAATTTATACATAGTTCTACAAAGCATGTATTAAATTAATTAACTGATGCCGTGTAACAACAATTGATAATATTTTCGCATGGAAAATTTAGATAATTACCACTTTATAAACTTTTATTACCTCCATCTTTTCCTCTTTGTTATCAAAGGATGAATTTTTTGAAATCATAATTCCTTTTTATCCATCTTTTCCCCTCTTTCCTTCTTTCTCTCGATACAACATTCATCCTTATCTTTATATAATTCATTCAATCCTTTATTTAAAATGAAATTAATTTATAATTTCCATATTTTTTTATTTTTGTTAACCTTTTCATATTGGTCATTTGCTGACGATGGCCAAAGTTCACCTAATGTTGACAATAATAAAAGCGATAATACAAATAATGAATCAACAGGCGATGGCTTATTTCGTGTAAAATTGACTTATCGTGATATTGATACTGAACTGTGCTATGCTTTGGCACCGATTAAACATGCATATATGCTTATGAAGTTTAACCTTATTGATTCATTAGTTGATCCACTTGTTTCGACACTTAGTTCGGCTGTTAATTCAGCACTTAATCCACTTGGTTTAGCTAAGAGAGCCTCAAATCAATATTTGGGTGCCATTAATTACGCTAATGATGCGGAAGTATGTCGTCTTATTTCTATAGATATTTACTATTAATTTTATATAGCATTTAAAATAAGGGTAAAGTTATTTGTTACTTACGTGATATGTCACCTGTGATCATCTCTGTACGGTAAAATTATGTTTATGTTAGATTAAGGTTAGGTAAGCATCTAGATTAGGGTCAGGATTTAGGCTATAAAGTAAAATCGTTCAATGAAAACTTTTGTTAGAACGCGAAAGGGATTCTCATCAGATTTTAAATTATAACCGACTTTCGACGAAACGAACGTTTATTACACCTGATTCTGAAACCTGATTTGTGTGCGACAAAATTAGCGATATATACACCTATGACAAATAACGTTACTCTCAAATAATTTTAATATTATTATTAATTTCTGATTTTAATTTTTAAATTTAGTGGTTGTGTCAAATATCTATTGGCACTCCACCACAATCATTTCTTGTGGCTTTAGATACTGCAAGTGCTAATCTCTGGGTAAGAAATATTAGATTCTCTTTTTTTAAAATGTTGGAGGTTTTTTTAAGTAAATATATCTATTTTGTGATTATAAGGTTCCTTGCATTAATTGCAGAAACTGTAACAATAAGAGGAAGTTTGATTACACTAAAAGTTCTACCATGAAATACAATAATAGTGATTTTTCCATCACTTATGATGACGGTTCAAGTTCTAACGGTTTGCAAGAACAGGTAATCAACAAAAGTTAGTCATTTATTCGGTAAATATTCAGTCTATTTATTAAAAAAATATATTAGGATACTTGTCAAATTGGAAATATGAATATTCGTAATCAGCAATTTGCTATGATAAATGATATGAGTCCAGGATTTCAAAATGATGCTATTGATGGTATAATGGGGCTTGGTATGTTAGAAATAAATTTTTATTTATTCAAATCATGAAAATCTTTTTGTTTTTTAACTATTCATTTTTTTAAACTATTTAATAGGATATGATTCGCTTTCAGTATACCCAGGCACTCAAACCCCTTTTACAAATATGTACAATCAAAGTTTAATTCCTCAACAAATCTTTTCAGTACAATTACGTCCTGCACGCAACAAGACTAATTATGGTGGAATATTCGTCTTTGGGGGTATCGACTCTAATTTATATACAGGCTCTATAACATATACTCCTGTAACTTATAAATACTTTTGGCAAATTGGAATTGATGCTGTAGAATATAATGGAAAAGCTGTTACGTCTTCTTCAAAAGGGCATAAACAACAGTGTATAGTTGATACTGCTACTGCGTTGCTTATTCTGGGAACAGATGTAGCAAAAACATTACATACAAGCATGAATGGAAAATATAATTCTTCTTCACAAAGGTGGCAAGTTCCTTGTAATTTAAATAGCAGTACTAAAGTGTCGATTAAGGTTAATGGTGTTTCACTTCCAATTAACTGTAAGTTTTACTACTGCATGTAACCTATCTATAGGCTCGTTATTTTTAACTTATCTAATATTTTAATTAATAGATCAAGATCTTGTGAGAGAAGAAATAAGTTCTGGAGGTTCTTGGTGTTATTCTGGAATAGCTTCTACTAATAGCTCTGTGAGTATTTATTCTAATATTCCTGTGCATATTTCTACCAAATGAAATTTCTCATACCAAGTATTTTATAAAAATAGGTTTATATCCTTGGCGGTACCTTTATAAAAAATTATTATGTAAGTATTTTGCCGGTTGTTAATGATGTTTTCAGTTTGTTCAATATTAAATTTATTTATTTATTTTTTTCATGCCTTGAAGGTGATATTTGATCGTGAAAAAGATCGAGTTGGATTCGCTACACCTGTTTATAGCTATTAATATAATTTAACCAAATAGATTAAACTATTTAAATTATTTATATGTTTTTTGTACTACTGTAACCTAAATTGAAATAAGTATCTAGTTGCTTGTTCCATTTTATAAATATTTGCCTTATCATATAATTATTATTCATGCTGTTAAAATCTTTAATATCAGTACATTGTCTAGAAAAATAATTCTTTATTCTTGTCAATTATTCCTCGAAATATGAATATTGTATTTATACATAAGTACGTACATGTTCCTGTTTGTGAAACGTTACGAGAAAAGCTTTTGGTAAGCTTTCCTTACAAAAAAAAAAAAGTAAAGGTTGAATAAATCTACGCAATAAATATCCTTAACTTAGTCTGTAATAAAACCAAATTGTACTGTAGTTATTGTCATTGTCAGTAGGAGAGAAAATGTGTACTCAAGTGCAAGCTTAGCTTTGATAAATAGAGCCGGGAAGAGTTAATATTTATTGTAAAAGCAAAAAGTTTTATTTTTACATTTCAAAAAGGAGGAATAAAAAGAAGAAAAGAGCACCTTTAAATATATAATGTCGTAAAGGTTGAATGCGTATTAATATGTACTGTACTGCACGCAAAAATTTTGACGAACTTAAGGGTGGTTGGACAACGAAGCATGTAATCGGTCAATCTATTGATAACAAGCATCAATAACTTAGTTACATTTGTGCTTGTATTTAATGATTAAGGGATGGTACGAACGTTTATGGCTCATTTTATGTATTTCATGTTCTAATGTTTATATTACATTGTTATTTTCGATTTTCATTAAAGAATGTACTTAATTATTAAATAACAATAGTTACTAAGCAGCTGGTTACAATAGAACTAGCACATGATTATGTAGGCGACTTCACTAATAATCTTAAAATGGATAGCGAATTATTACATGAGCTACGGGTATCCTTATGTCAAGCAAATTTCGGGCTTAAGATCATTTCCGGCCTAAAAATTTTGGGTCGTAGTATATCAA